TGAATGCTGGAATGACCGAGTTTGAATCCCACCGGGACAGTAAATTGAAACATATCTCGACGTCTTCCTTTCAAGTCCTTACCCACTCATCATCTGCCGTGTTAGAGAAACCGTCTTTGGCGCGGTTGAGACAGTGTCGTTAAATATCTGTGCATTAAATCAGAACTCCGTGGCTTAGTCGGGAAGGTTGCATGACAATTTACCGGCGAGTAACTGTTCTAAAAACGAATCCCTCCGCAATGTTGTGTGACATCGACCCCGTCACGTGACCTTGTCCGACGAAACAATGGCCGGAAGGACTCCGTCCCTGTGACAGCAGGACGCGATGGTACTTCCACACGGCCCTCGACGTCACACCACCGTCTTTATCCGAGTTGACTCCTGTTCGACATCATCGCGTCTTGTCCCTCAAAGTGTTTCCCGCGTAAGGTCTGAGTTTTGTGAACGCCCGAGCTGCATTCCCAGCCCATCACACTATCGTACCGGCACCTCACTACGCCCGATTCCACTTCACCCCTCGTTCTGTATAGCCAAATACACGGAATTATTACGTTTGGTAAATGTGGATCATTTGGGCGACGTAGGCATGATAATATTAAAATGAATCTTACACAGAAAGTTTTGGGTGAAATGGATTGTATTCACCTGACTCAGGATACGGACCATGGTCAAGATCTTGTGAACGATAATAAGCCTTCTTAAGAGGTGGGAAATTCGACCAGCTGAGTGACTGTTAGCGTCTGTGCTCCATGGCGTCAGTTACCCGCACTGGAAAGATTCTCAGGTGATTTGTTCGCTGCTGACGAACAGTGACAGTAGGTACAGACCTGCGGGTTGTGTGTGAACCATTGGCGTATGGGGGGGGGGATCCCGATTCTGTTTATCTCAGTCTAAACCTGCGCTCATGTTAACTGGTTCGAGGGACAGAGCCCGCGTTGTCCCTGTGGGCCCACACCGGCTGCCGTGTTTCGTCTTCATTTTGCGGCGTCAGTCTTCGTAAAACAGGACGCAGCCTTGGCGCGAAGGTCGCCTGCAACTTGGAATTTGCAATGCGGCATTTAATTAGTGGTTGTTGCGGACACCGCGCGTGTCTTGTCGTCTAATTACGGTCGTAAACTTTCCCCCTTCAGTTATCCATTTGTTTTCACTATTAGAGTGTCGTCGCAATTTGTGAAACTCCCTGTAATTGTCCAAACAATGAACAAAGACCAATTACTTATTCCTTGACGATAATTCTCTGCTTCGTTTGAAGAGCGAGGAACGCGGTCGCTTCTCGTGCTGGAGGATCAACACTTTCACCCCAGCGCTGTCTGCCGGACGAAAATATAGACGGCCTCCGTACATTTCTTTTTCCCGATGGCGAAATAGGCGACCACTCAGCCTCTGGTCACTGTCACCACAAAAGCGCCTTTACAAGATCAGTTTTAAAGTTAGCGTGCGATCACCAGGGTTTCCCCACTGGTACTCCGTAAGCGTTCTTTGTTTCCCCCAACCATTTATTTACCTGTGAATCGTTCTGGTCGGTTGACTCGCGCCGGACATGAACCCAGGTCTCCGGATGCAGCAGCCGAAGGCCGCAGACATCGCGTGAGACGAAAATGTCTGCGTCCGCCTTTACTTCCGGCCAGGCAGGGTCCTGAAGGTTTCTGTAAGGAGCAGCGACCATCATTCCGCAGAGCCACTGCGTTGGAACATTTCTTTGTTTGGAACGGAATTTCCCAGTGGAAACATCCCGGCTCCCAGGACGCATTAAGGCCCACTTTACTCCCTGAAGATGGCAAAAATGTGTTTCCCCGAAACGTTGGTATGTATTTACACACGTCACGCACAGCCCATAACAACATGGGAACTTCACCGCCTTTAGAAACTCTGATCTCATTTGTTCATCTCTCGTTGTTACTTGTATCTTAGCCCCCGCCCCGGAATCATCAAAGCAGAAAGGAAAGATTTGTGTCTCTGTCAGTCGTCTGCAGCCCGTGTTTAACAAAGCCAGAGATAACGCGGACTTTTGACCCTGGCTTGGTAATCAGTGAGTGTATGAGTCAGCCAGGAGAGTGGTGCCAGGTCAGCTTGTGTTCAGTGCGCATCGAGACGCCATGCCGTGTGGACGATGGTGTGGTCGGCGGACAGAGCGGAACTCC